ATTCCCCTTTTTAGAGCTAATAAATAATAATAAACGTTACATGAACAACCTCACATACATGTGTGTATGTCAGGAGAATAACTTAAATCCGCCTCTGCACTGTCAAAGTCTGTAACACACACAGAGAGAGAGAGTGTCACGGGCGAAAAAAAGCGATTGAGAATATCCAGAGACGAAACTGCCTCCTCGATTAACTGAACCACGCTTGTCCATGAAAGTCCCTGTCCAGCATCATCTCCAGCATAATCAGGTTTCTCTTGCCTTCTTGCCCGTTTCTTGCCTTGTTCCCTCATGTTTCATTTATCTTCCTGAAATAGCCCCTGCTCTATAATTAGATCAGGTGGCAGACACACCGAGGCGTAGGTGGATCCCGGAATAGCAATGATCGGCGAGAGCCCGTCGTCATGGGAACCGGGACCCTGTGGGCGAGCGGGACACGTTGATTAATCGGAGCAGAGAACAGGGGTCAACATTCAGTGATGTCACAGGCCCTGCATGTGAAGTGGTGATTCGGGCGTGCGTGCATGACACGAGATACTGAGATAAAGCAAAGAAGAGATGCTTTTTACGGGTTGCACACGAACGCTCATATCCACACAACTGTTTCCCTGCTCTGTGTGGAAATCTACTCAGATATACGGCAAACGAGCAGTAGGATCAGGACAAACCTGTCAGGATCACTCGACATCACTGCGCCAGTCAGACTACAGCAACACCACCGGGGGTTTATGAGTGTGTGTCAGGACAAAACCTGAAAAAGCCACTCAAGCTTGTGGTCCTGACTAGAAAAATAGCTTCATAACGGCACTAAATGTCTCATTTCACATATAAAAATTAAATATATTTCACATATATTATTACTGAAATTATCATTAACTTTTATATATTATAATATTATATATGTAATCTTTTATATATATATATGAAATATTAGATATCTCTAAAAACAATACTTTTACTATACTTTTAATTCATATAAAACAATAATAATATCATCAACAAAAAAGCATAATAATAAATAATATAATAAAATTATTAATAAGCATAACAATTATATTATTATAATATTAATACGCATAGTAATAATTAATATTATTAACACTACTACTAATATTTTATTATCTATAAAATAAATGATTTCATCTTGCATCAAATTCTTATTATTCTTTTAAATTTAAAAAAATGCAATGATAGCAATTAACAAATTTGTATTGTTAAGTAGCTTTGGATAAAACTGTCTGCTAAATCCATAAATGTAATTAATAATTAATAATTATTTATTATTATATAATTATATTAATAATTATAATGAATAATAATCATTTGAGAATGAAGGAGAGACTCCCTCCAATAAAAAGTAAATAAATGCTCAATATTACTCCTGTCTTACAGTCAGTTTTGTTTTTCAGTAAAAATCTTCATAAACAACAAAGGATTATGAAACGCCAAACTATATTTTCTGAGATATTAACAGTCTCTTTTAACAGCGATTTTAACAGTCTGTGTTGCACATCATGGAAGACAATGTTAGCATCCATTAATTTTAATTGTAGAAGAAAACTAGTTAATTTTGAGCCTTTTGCGCCATTTTCGTCTTGCGTGTTTAAAATCTACATCATGTCAATGTCACAAGTTGACTTGCAAATCACTGTAGTACTTTGATGACGTGTCATTGTCTCATAATTATTCATAAGACTGCATGTCCTTATCCTATGAGAAGATGCTTCGCTTAATTATTCCCAACAGCACATGTTGATTTCCTATGACAGATGCCTCAGAGATCACATACAGTCAGAGACACGTTCAAAGACTAACAGAGAGTGTTTGTTTTTGTTTTGTAAGAGACTCTTCTATAGACCTTGAGTCTCCAACACAAACATGATTCATCCACACCGTGAATGTACCCGGTCTTTACAGCTCCTTGATGTAACCGATCAAACAGCTTATATAAACACAGCAAAATAAGCCTCAGAAGTTATTAAAAATGCAACAGTGCGGTCTTATACATTTTCCATGCGGAGTGCAAATGCAAATGGCTGTGCATTTATTTGCCCATTAAATTAGAGCTCTCACAGGATGTGTGTATTTATGTAATGTACAGTGAGCTTAGAAAACCATGTATAATATATAATCATTTTGTTCTGTGTAACAGTGAATTGCAATGTGCATTTGAGGGAAGCATATACTTTAAATCAATGAGACCGAAATAAAAGTATCTGAATCTGAAAGCGCTGTTGTGTTGTCTGTCTCCCCAGTTTTGGTTACCATTGACTTCCAGTGTATGGACAAAGACAGTCATACTAGTTTGGAACACATGAGGGTGAGTAAGTGATGACAGAATTTACATTTTTGCGTGAACTGGCCATTTAAGTCTCTATGATATACTAGTTTCAGATAAGACTATATATGACATATCAATCTGTCTGCTCTATTTGTGTGTGTGTATAGACACCCACCTTCAATAGCATGCAGATGAGTGCAAGCGATATATCCAACAACCCGCTGATCCTGAGCAGAGCTTCCCACCTGCACCTGAGAGAATAGAGCAGGAGGACAAAAGAGATTGAAGAGTGAGAACTTTGCCACATCAAACGCATTACAGAAACGCAAAATCAGTTATGAAGTGCCGTCAACACCCCTGAGTACTGTTGCACTGTTTCTCTGTCAGCTTCTTCTGTCATACGCTCTAGATTCCTTTCATCTGTCTGTGGCTTGTCTGGGGACCGTCTTAAAAGGTAATAGTGAGAGCTTGCACACCTCTGAGCCCTTCAAAACACCTGCTCGTATCATCATTTTATCCAGCCGCACCAAATTCCCCCATTTCTTCTTGTTTTTCTTTTCCGGCTCATGCATTATATCGGCTCATTAGTGAGCAGACGGACTGAATATTTCAAAAAGACAAATTGATTAGTAAGTGGAGAGCAAATTTAATGCGCCTAAAATGCTGCAAAGTAATAAGCTCTCTGCAAATATATATACACATACATATATATCTGTGTATATGTGTGCGTTCACATTTAACAGTGTTATTTTCTTTTATTGCTATTATCTGTAGGTCAACATTAAATGAGAGCAAAAGTCAATCGAAATGTTAAAATAGGTAAAATTAGCATGTACAATAAAATATTAATACCAATAAAATAATAAAATAAAATAAACATAGCTATATACACTCATAAGCTCAGTCCATATACATATATATTACCATAATGTATTATATATTATAATTTATTATATTAATTGTAGCGTCTGGACCAATCCAACACACTATATATTCTCTTTATGGTTAATTATTCATATTTCCCATGAGCTGATTCGCTACATAATATAATTCATTATTGATATAAATGCCTATAAAATTCACAAATAATATAAAACTGAAGTAATAACTTCACAACATTATAATGCAAAGTATGAACAATGGATGTTGATTTTGAGATTTGATAAAGATTAAATTTAACAGTGTTATTACTTTTTAATTTGTAAAAAAAATTCTGTAGGCTTTGTATATTGTGCTAGTTCCAGCACTGGCATCTCTCTGTCCTCTTTTCATCCAGACAGCCCATTCAGTGTAAATCATTCAATGACTTACATTGGCTCATTCCCAGCAAGGACTCCTATTCAAAGTGCTGAGAGCTACAGTACAGTTGGACACAGTTTCTCAACCTCCTTCCAAATCCTGAAGTCCTCCACAAAGTGCAAATTCTACATTTCAGCAGTAGCGATAATAAATGTCATTGTTTTTTAGAGCTGATTTGTAGATTTAATTACACTAATGAGAGTCTGACCATGTGGTTACCATGAGCTCACTGCATCGGATCAAACAGGGCTAGTACTCTTCCATTTCATCGTTTGCTTTTTCCTCACTCAGCTTCATTGCCTTTCTCTGTTTCATAGTCCTTGTGTATGAATATTTCAAACGTTTACCCATGCTTGGCTAAGTGTGTGTGTGTTGCATTGACAGACTAGAGAAGGCAGGAAATCAGATGGGTGGAAATTTTTTATGTGTCTATAGGGATGTCAAAGGTTAAAATAAAATAAATATTTCTAAAGTATTGGTAGCACTAAGTACCAACAATTAGATGTGTACATGCACGTATACATTTCATGGGCAAAATACATATACAGTATATCTGTACTTTAGGATTGCTGTTTATTATGTCATTAATAATAACCATACAACATTTTAGCAAAAAAAGGAGAATTGGATGGATAAAAATGGACCGGAGTCATATAAATTACTTGTAGATTATTGTTTTTTTTATCAGCAGTTTGGACTCTCATTCTGACGGCACCCATTCACTACAAAGGATCCATTAGTGAGCAAGTGATGTAATGCTAAATTTCTCCAAACCTGTATACCGCTAAATGTGAAATTTTACTGGTATTGGTGTTGACTGCTGAAATGTCATCTTAAGTGTGTGCAAGGGTATTGTCTGACTTTGGACAATGTTTTATCTGAGCTAAAATGCATGCAAGGTTTTGTGTTGTGATTATATGTGCATACATGCAAATAAGTGTTAATGAGCTGTGTGCTAATTGGAATGTGTCTGCCACTTGTGAGATCTCTTATAAGGTTAAAGATTATTTGCCCAAAGGAGAAACAGTCGGCTGGCTCAGTAAGTCCATCACACACACACACACACACACACACACACAGACACAGACACACACACACAGAGGCTTGGCTGTCTAATAACCTTCTTCCGGTTCTTCTAATTCACTCCTACTGGCAGCTTGAATGCTGAGATGATAACACACACAGCAAAGACATGACTACAGCTGAAGACAGCTAGTACTTTACACTAACAAAGCATTGCAAATAGAGCTGACCACAGCAGGAGCAATGGGTCATGGTCTTTTACCGCTGAAAGACAGCACTGATTGCTGTACAATCTCCCAGCTTTAGGGGGACATTTTGCAATCTTGCAGCATTTTAATTCCCGCCCGAAGACTATGCATAACAACAGTGAAATTTTCTTGCACTAAAAACAGTAATTTAGTTTTACACAATGAAACCTCCTCTTTGAGCCTCATTCATGAAACACAAGCAGAGCAAATTCATGAGTATGTCTCATAAGTCCATTTGTATATAATTGTCCCATTGAATGAATGCAGCAACTTAAATAATAATGGATTTATGCACTATTTATGCAGATTCTTGTTTCATGAATGGCCCTCTGACCTTAAAGGGGTCATATGATGCGATTTAAATTTTTTCCTTTCTCTTTGAAGTGTTACAAGCTCTTGGTGCATAAAGAAGATCTGTAAAGTTGCAAAGACTAAAGTCTCAAATCCAAAGAGATATTCTTTATAAAAGTTAAGAGTCAGCCACGCCTACCTAAAACGGCTCGTTCTAACACGCCCCCACATATCTACGTTGCTATGTGGGAAGATTTACATAACACCGCCCAAATGTTCCCGCAAAGAAAGAAGTTGTAACTTTTATTCTCGCTGTAGTTTTGTTGTTGCCGCCGCCATGTCGTAAAGACGCTGTGTGCTTCGTTGTGAAAGCGACACTACTTTGTTTGGTCTTCCAAAAGAGAACGATATCTGCTTCGTCATGCCTGGAGCTGATCCGTGCTGGTCGCTGAGGAAATACATCAACTTTGCGCTATGGATCGCCTTTCACCGTGGACGAAGCGGAGTCCAGCCCGGAGTCGTCACATGTCCTTCCGGACGCTCCTTTGTCGAAATCGCCGGCCGCGCCGTTCTCAAGCCCCCCCGCCTCTGCTCACTCTAACCCTCCGGCCGTTCCTCACACTAGCCCCCGGCCTCTGATCACTGTAGGCCGCCTCTGCTCACTCTAACCCTCTGGCCGTTCCTCACGCAGCCAGGTTTTTTGGGCAGTGTAGAGTAGAGCTTGTTGTTTGTCATTTCTGTGATCACAAATGCAGACATGGTTTTATGTTTACACGGCATAAAAAGACAGTATAAGTCATTATAATCCATAATTATGTCCCGGAAAATAATGTGTTTTTTTAACCTTAAACCGCATAAACACATTTCATTACACCAAATACACAAAATAATGTTCTTTTTAGTAGCATCATATGACCCCTTTAAGAATTAAACAAGCTGTTTTTTCTACTGTAACTTTAACACTTCTACAGTTTACATATATATATATATATATATATATATATATATATATATATATATATAAACTACCTCTGTTATTATTTATTTTGCAGCGGTTTCCATGAATGATCTGGGTGGACAAGATAGTTCTGCATTTTGAATGCTGACACATTGAACTATTCGTTTTTGAAAGAGCTTTGAAAGCCATGAAAGTTATAGTCTGACCAGCGAGGTGGGATATTTTAGTTTTTAAAAGAGGGTGCTCACCAAGGCTGCATTTATTTGATAAAAAATACAGTAATATTGTAGAATATTATTACAATTTTAAATATTTTTCTCTATTAGGACACTATGGCAATTCATAACAAACTAAAAAACCCATAAACATTCCTATACATATAGTAGACATGGAATTTATGGACACACATTAACGATTTGCTAACAATCATGTAAACCCTAAACAAGCATCTACCCTTGACGTTGTGAGTGTGAAGAGCTCTTGAATAATAATAAGAGGGCTGAACATACATGCTGAAAGGCCTTAATTAAAGGGCCGCTCAGTCCTACGGGAAGCATTTTTAATTAATATTTCCACTCCACACATATCCCTCCCTCTCTCCACCATTCATTTTACACCCCTTCCCCCTCCACAATTCATTTGACAAAGCTTTGTCTGTTTATTTATCAGAAGCTGACCTTTTATTACCCATAATGGCCCGGGGATGAGAAGCAGTGCTGCAATACTACTGACCTTTTATCAGTAGTGTGAGAGTAGTTCTGCTATTTTGCCATTTTTCACTAATTTCGACTTTCCAAAATTTAATGGTTAAATTGAATTTCATTGTTTTATGTCAGAGAAACACAGCTCTGTTTATTAGTACTACTGTCTATTTAAGACAGAATGCACATATTTAACATACTGAAACATAGTCTCGTATAGACAGACCTTCAGACTGATGGCAGAAGGTCTGGGAACCTTGGCCACTTTGAATAGCCAAGGACCAATCAAGAGGCCATATGACTGACAGGTAAAGCAACCAATCATGTTTTATTTTCTGCCGCGTCATGTTTATGGGGGTGGAAATGTCCCCACAATAACAGACCAATGTGTAAAACTCTTCAAGAGTCTATGCGCAAACTTTACATATGTCACATACTTTTGAAAATCCAGTGTTTAGTTGATCCTGATAAGCACTCATTGTCACAGCTGTAAACATAACGACTTTCTCCCTCCATGAGGGGGTTTGCAACGCGAAGGCAAGAACGCGACACACATGTCTCCCAGTAATTCTGTATAACTCAAATAATCTTACAACGACTTTGAAACACCTGAAGTGTTTCCAATTTTGTGTGCCATATACATCAAACGTTCAGCCAACGGTCAGTGGGCATGACGTCTAAGGCTGAGACTAACTGACATGGATCCGATTTCATTTCCAGCTGTATGTTCATTTAAGACATAACTAACTGTCTGAATAAATACTCGCCAAGACAGACATTTTTTGACACATTTTTTGTGTATATTTTAGGGATGCACAATATTATATACTTTGATGTTTATCTGCTTACCCCCAGGGCATCCAAGATGTAGGTGACTTTGTTTCTTCAGTAGAACACAAACGAAGATTTTGTCGCATCAATGTATTGTCACGAGTCGCAGGGTTTAATTTGGTTTTGTTTGTGTATGTTTTTTTGACTCTCAAAGCTGTGATTCCCATCCACTTACATTATATGACTGACAGACTGCAACGGTTTGAGTTAAAAAAATGTGTTTGTGTTCTACTGAAGAAACAAAGTCACCTACATCTTGGATGCCCTGGGGGTAAGAATATAAACATCACATCTTTTTTTTTAGGGTGAACTATCCCTTTAAGATACTTGTGTGTCTGAATAAATAAAGCAGTATGGATGTCATAAAATCACGAGTCTGTTTTGATTTAAAGGTCAGAAGTTTTAGCTAAAAATAAAAAACATGACACTTGTAAATTAAATAATGTAATATATACAGATTTATTGAGTAATATATAATATATTTTTTAATGGATTATGAAAACTTGAATATAAGGAGCTCTGAAAGATTTATTTTTACTTTTACAGCTCTTTTGCTTTAGTCTATCTATTAATGTTAAATCCACTATAAAATGTTGAGGTTTCAACTGCATCTGTCTGAGAAAAAAAACAGCAGAAATTGATTTATTACAGTTATTTTCAAGGCTCTCAATGTAATTGCTCAAAACTAACCAAAATTTAAAAATTATTTGTTTATAATTTCTGCACAGGAGAGACTTGGTGTTGTTTCAAAACAAAAGGAAACATATATCGGTTTCGGCATCTGCCATCGGCAAAAATCTAATATCGTGCATCTCTAGTATATTTGACCGTTTATGCACAAGCCCAAAACCCTAAGTATACTTCGCTTGATCGTGTTTAGCTCCGTGTTGGAAAACAAGTCAAAGGAACAGGCTCTTTTGCAGTTAATGCACTTTTAATAACTTTTTATTATAAAGCATGTCCCACAGTAAACTGCTTTTTTACGACAGTCACATTACATGATTTGACCTATTTGGGCGTTAAGCTTTTAAGGAGGGGCTTATTGTACTCTGTGAATAACATGAGAGATAGTGCGAGAAAAGAGCAAGACAGACAGAGAGACACTGACCTTCCACATCCCCGTTCCATCTGAGTGTGTTAATTAAACTATTATTTTCTCCTAAGAACTAAAGTGTGAGCTTTCAAACTAATTATTTTAGGTTTTGCTCCAGCTGTCAGGTTCTTTTGGGATTTTCACAGCAGTTCTTTTCTGGAATTATGTGTCATTTAACTGTACAGACTTACACTTACAGTTCAATCTAACTCTAGTCCTAGTCTAACACTGTGTACAATGTACTGTAGAAGCTTGGGTAGCCCGGCCCACTGTGAAATCTCATTGGTTCAAAATCATGCTTTGAATAGCTGTGTATTAATATTGTCCAATTGGCTGCGATTGTGCCACATCATTCAGCAGTTTCAAGTTCAAGTAGTTAGACAAATAGATTGTCGCTGGAAACTCATGCCTGGTTAGAACACATTGTTATTTCTGTCATTAAATTTGAAATGAAAAACATAATTACCCTAGCCTTGTTTTGAAACCTTGAGGACCTGATGACAGATGTAGTCTGTAGTTCAACAGATAAGCAAATAAGAGGCCAGGACCTTGGAGGAGTATCCAAAGAGCATCAATAACTTCTGGAAGCAGTTGGTTAAACTTACACCCCCGTAAAAGATTGAACGTCAATTCAAGTAAGAATCTATTTAATAAGTACATGTACAGGGCAAAGGCATTGACCTTCTGTTTCTCTGTGTACAGTACTCAATATTTAACAGGCTTCTCTCTCTAGCACACACATATTCAGAGTTAGTGTTTAGTAGCTTTTTCTGACACACAATGGCGGCTGGCCTCTTGCCCTTATGGAGGGGAAAAGAGATCAGGTTTGGAATGCGGTATCCAGAGTTGGATACAGTGCTGAGAGATTAATGATATCTCAACCCTAAAAGCCTGTACTCATCATCTCTCTAAATGAGAGCTACACAAACAAAAACACAAGCTAATATCATGCACAAATATAGATACTAGTTAACACATGCTAAGCATGCAACATCCCAACATGCTAATGTAAGCAAATAGCGAAATTAGTGCAATTAACATGTCAAATCATTTCATGCAAAAAATTCAGAATACTAAATTGTTTTAACAACAGTACAAAGCACAACAGCTTTCTCTTTTAATCATATGCTGTCCATATGCTAGCATAAACAAAGGGACTTTTTGTAACTGAAACTTAAAACTAGCAAGTGGCTACTAACATTCAACGGGTCAGTTCACTTCACTTCACCATTCATGAAGAATTCAGAACAATCTGTTGTTCACATTTGGCTAAACCCAACGTTTGTCATTTTCCATACTTCAAAATTAGGTACAAGCCTAATGTTCAAATGAAACCAATGCCACGTATGCTAAATATGTACTGAAACTTACCCAAGTACTGTATGTACCAGAGTACATAAAAATCTATGGGAACACTTTCATCATTGTAATTAAATACCACCTTAGTTCATAATCCATCAGCTGCTAGTGCATACATTCATCGCTTCTTACATAAACCTTTGTAGAATGCTAGTAACAGCAGCTGCAGGACTAATGAACCTGTCTTTACAATATCCAGACTAAAATGAGCATACAATATTGTATAAGAGTGAAACTACTTCTTGAATTGTAATATCTACTCAGCATAAGTGCACAGCCCCATTAAGACCATATATAATGCAACAGGACTGTACATCCAGCCATGCTTCAACAAAGAGCAAAAGCCTTTGTTTCTGAAGGCATGACAGATGAGTGTTTCAAAAAGGCCCTCTAGGCTACAAAGGGCTAGTTGTAAATTATTCAGGCTGTTTGTGTACACTCAAACCACAAGTCCAACTTTAACTCCAGACACGTGCCATGGAAAGTTCAAGAACTGGAACATGCCCTAATGTGCCATTTCGATATCAGTGACATGCATCAAATGTTGTACAGCAGGTATAAACATTGATGATCAGAATGAATTGGCTGAATATAAAACATAACTCTTAAAGATGCCTTTACATTGGAGATCTAAGGATTCAGTTAATTAAGTTGAGATCTGCATTGGTTCACATGCAAGGGTGTAGCATAAACCAGCGGAGGGTATACAGAAGGAATCCAATATCCTGCATATAACAAATACAAGAAAAATGGCTTAAAAGCATGCCATAAGAAAGGAGTATAACAAACTTACCTTGGCAAAAAGAACTCCTTTAGCAGCCAGAGCATCCTCGCTGTGCCCATTAGGGAAGCACTCATAATGGGCATCCAGAATAGGGTAGCGACTGGCCAAAAGAAGCCCGCTGTTCAAGAACTTGAAGCGGGAGCAACAGCCTTTCCAGCCATAGCGTCCCACGTCACTCAGCACAAATGGAAAATAGCGGTGCAGCTGCCTCCTGAGCCTGTCTGCAGCTCGCCTTTCGAAGACTTCCTGCAGACAAAGGAAGTCCAGGTTGGCAGGGAAGAAGGCAGAGATCTCATGGTCAAAGCCGTCGTCTCCATGACGGCGTTTGCGCCCAATCGGCCTTTTAAAGACTGAGGTGCGGTGTTGTGAAAGGGTATTGTTGGGGGAGATGCCTCCATCGGCTGCGTGGAAGCGAACCAGGGATTCCCGTGAGGCCGTACGGCTTTCTAGGCTACCCGTATCCCCATCCCCGGTCTGGTGGTTCTCTTTTTCAGCCTCAGTCGGCTCAGAATCAGGAGAGGTGATGCTGATTTGCACTCCAGCCGGATGGAGAGGACAGTCCTCTGAGTTCTGGATGATGTTGCTATGTACTGGACACTCACCAGAGGAGTGTGGGTCTGCAAACTGGTGGACGGCACAATCAGGAACATGCTCTTCTTCATTGGGGTGGAGGGGGCACTCTGAGGAATTTTGGGCTCCAGTGCTGTGGACGGGGCAATCCGAGCTTGTACCTCCTGAGGGGTGAATGGGACACTCAGTTAAGGCCTCAGTCTCAGGCTCAGTGGTGACTACAGGCTCGGGACGATGGTCCAAAGATGAGGTGCGGCGGAAGCCCTGGGTGGCCAAACTGCAGAAGGATGCCGCACTAATTGAAGTATTGGTGGGCGAGTCAATGTATATCTTGATCTGGGGTCTGCTGGCACCATTACGGATCCGCTTGCCCACTTCACGAGCTCGGCGTTGAGTGTCCGCAAGGTTGTTGAAGCGTGCGAGTGAGTCCGGCAGCAGGCAAACATTGGCACTGCCAAAGCAAAAGCTGCGACCTTGTAGACGCCACTCAGCAAGTGCCGCCCCGGTTCCAGTCGATGTTCCCTGCTCGGCGCCATGCTTGTCTGGTTTCTGGTGAGAGTAGATGTAGGGGTTCCTGATGGTCTGCAGTGGGGCCCACAAGAGGAAGCCAATAAAAGCAAAGGGTAAGGATGCCAGTAACAGCACCAGGTAGAGTGGTGTAGAGATCAGGACCCCAAGTGCCAAAAAAGAGCAGGGATCTTGGGAGCGTCTACGCTTCTCTAGTGATGTTGCTACACAGGAGGCCAACAACCGGTCCAACAACCAGTAGCAAGGGAAAACAAAGGCCCAAGACAGACGGCTCAGAAAGCTGAGGAAGGCACTAGGGTAGGGAGAGGTGTGCAAGACCATTTCTGGCTCACCTTGTAGACCAACTCCCAGCCAAAAAAAATTAAAAAAAACAGTTCAAAAAAAGAACTACAAAGTTTACCCTCCCCCCTGTGGCGGAAAGAGGTATACTACATGGTTCTTGGGTCCTTCGCTATGTCCGACTTTGAATTTGGGATATACAGGGTTCCAAGCCCAGCCTCTTCCCTCTTTGGTGGGGGTCTGCAGTGCTAGAGTCTCCTGAAGAATCTGATCATGGTGATGACAAAAAAACCCTCCTGGGACCCAGAATATTCCAGGCACGGAAAGAGGAGGCCTCGTCAGCACAGAGCCTGCAGACAAGCAAAGGGAGGGGGGAACAGAATACACAGGCAATCAGATGAAAATGGAGGATAATGTGCAATCAACAAATTGGATCCCAGTAAAATTTTAAATGTTTTGAAAATCATGATGAATAATAAATAATAATAGCTTTTTACAGAAACCAGAGTGTCAGGTCACCAAATGTAGCCTGCTGTGTAAGAATTTAGTTTTTACTTCATTTGCATCTGTGTGTTTTCAAATTGGGTTTGGTAAAATATGTAATTTAAAATAGCTTATTGTTTGTAAATAAAATAAAAAAAAACTTGTATGAAATACAAGCAACCTTATAAAGGCTTGGATTTAAATCCATGCAACCACAGTGGGATTTTTTAGAAAGAGGGTCTACCAGATGTGGCTTTTTATCCCAAATGACCTTTGATTTTAACAAAGGAGAAATTAGGATAATTACCATTTAAAAAGCTACCACTGCACAGGTGGTACTGTAAAATATGATGACTAAGTCCCTTTGTAGAGTGGTGGTGATTTTGTGGTTGTTCCTCATGAAATAAACAGACAGAAACAGGCCTATACAAACAAATGGAGCAGATGATGAGGAAGATTAGACTGCAACCTCACAGAGAGACAATTGCACTGATTAAATGTAAGAAAAGATGATACAGAAAAATATTCTCTGTCTTTGTCACAAGGAAGTACCAATTAAATTTACCTTGTTCTTGAACAAAGAACTCACAGAGGTGTTACATTCTTTTGTTTTAGACCCTTTATTCAGTGCAATTTAAAATGGTTAAATATAATTAATATAAATATAATTAAATACAGACTGAAATGGAGCTTAAAATATGTTTAATATGGTTTGTACCCCTTTTTTGTACCCCTAATACTTTCCCTCCACTCCCTTGATATTTAATCACCTTCAACAAAGCTGAAAATCGCAAACGAGTAATTTTATAATTTTAGAGATTCTCATAAAACACATAAATCTAAAGTGCTTTAAACCTTTGTTTTGAATGCAGCTATAGCTGTCCTTTTATGTTGAAATGCTGGTTGCCTTTTTGCAGCTGATGCTCCTAGTTGAAACCCTGACCTAAATCATCAAAAGATTTACCACAGATCAAAGAGGACAGGTCAGTCTTTGACACAACCAGGAAATGTAGGTTACTGTTGTGGTTTTATAACTGGGTTGACAGTTGACACTGATGTCAAGAGACTAAATAACAAAAACAGAAAGACAAGTTCACAAGTCGTAACTTAACATCATATTTAAATGTTCACTATCCAATTAATCCCCAATGGATAAAATCAAGTCCCATCTCACAAATTTCTCATTGAATATGCTGTTTCACTCAGAAATATGCCACATTACAGAATTTTAATGGGTTGTTAATACCATTTCATGCAGATCAGCAAGAACCCCTCTTGCACATTTACACATACGAATGACCTTTCTCACACAAAGTCCTCTAAAAATACTACTAAAGCACAGATAAACGTCTGTATTTACCCTATAAGAGTACAGCAGTTACCCTAGATAACCATAACACAAAGCTTCACGTACAAATAATCCCTTTGCATCCACACTCACCTCATCTGCACACACACACTCAATCTGTGGAATAATCATTTCCAGGGTTTTATCCATCACCGCCGCCTAATCTGCGCTGGACCGCTGTGTCGACTGCATAGTGGCCTAGACGTGAGGGGAAAAAAATCTTAATTTTTTTCTGAGAGGGCTGATTTTTGACAGCCTGCTGTGAGCACAGGGTTGCGCTGGGGAGAATTTGAGCTGTCTGACTCAAAGAGAGACAGACTGGGCCGTCGGTGCACAAGAACAGGAAAAGGAAGAGTGTAGCAAATGAATGTGTGGTAGTTTGCAGATGTGCATGCTATATATATGCGCATCACCGCACAAGCACACACACATGTGCGAGGGGGGTTAAGTGACCGTGTCTTTAGGTTAAGCTTGCCTACTGCTGAGCAGCTTTCAGGTCACACACAAACAAACACACACTCAAAGCTTACAAAGGGAATCCGGTGCAACAACAATGTCCTCAACTCTTCACAGATTCCCAAAGATTGGCCTGCTGTCGTTTTGCCCCTGAACTGAGCTGCCATATGGTTTTGTAGAACACACACAAATACTTAACCACAAATTCACACTTAGTTCAGGGTCGTAATTTCCACTGGGGACAGGGGGGACATGTCCCCCCCCACTTTTCAAATTCATTAGTTATGATTTTTTTAACCGCACGCCGTCATCGCCACGGAGGAGCAGGACCGAGCAGGGCACAGACGCACGCGACCGCGTCCAGGAACGTTGCGTGCATACTCTAAAAATAGCTCACTGGAAGTTCTAATGAGCAGGTATCGTGGTTGCGACACAGTCAGCGATGAAACGCCAGAAGCAGCAACAGATGACTTTAATGTCATCATGAATGAAAAGAAAGAAAGGAGATGTGAGTTTGATTAAGTCCTCTAAAAATACTACTAAAGCACAGATAAACGTCTGTATTTACCCTATAAGAGTACAGCAGTTACCCTAGATAACCATAACACAAAGCTTCACGTACAAATAATCCCTTTGCATCCACACTCACCTCATCTGCACACACACACTCAATCTGTGGAATAATCATTTCCAGGGTTTTATCCATCACCGCCGCCTAATCTGCGCTGGACCGCTGTGTCGACTGCATAGTGGCCTAGACGTGAGGGGAAAAGAATCTTAATTTTTTTCTGAGAGGGCTGATTTTGACAGCACGCTGTGAGCACAGGGTTATGCTGGCGAGAATTTGAGCCGCCCGACTTGCAGAGTGACAGACAGGGCCGTCAGTGCACGAGAACAGGAAAAGGAAGAGTGTAGCAAATGAATGTGTGGTAGTTTGCAGATGTGCATGCTATATATATGCGCATCACCGCACAAGCACACACACATGTGCGAGGGGGGTTAAGTGACCGTGTCTTTAGGTTAAGCTTGCCTACTGCTGAGCAGCTTTCAGGTCACACACAAACAAACACACACTCAAAGCTTACAAAGGGAATCCGGTGCAACAACAATGTCCTCAACTCTTCACAGATTCCCAAAGATTGGCCTGCTGTCGTTTTGCCCCTGAACTGAGCTGCCATATGGTTTTGTAGAACACACACAAATACTTAACCACAAATTCACACTTAGTTCAGGGTCGTAATTTCCACTGGGGACAGGGGGGACATGTCCCCCCCCACTTTTCAAATTCATTAGTTATGATTTTTTTAACCGCACGCCGTCATCGCCACGGAGGAGCAGGACCGAGCAGGGCACAGACGCACGCGACCGCGTCCAGGAACGTCGCGTGCACACTCTTAAAAATAGCTGACTGAAGGTTCTAATGAGCAGGTATCGCTATTGTGCACAGTCAGCGATGAAACGCCAGAAGCAGCAACAGATGACTTTAATGTCATCATGAATGAAAAGAAAGAAAGGAGATGTGAGTTTGATTCAGTAAATTAGCTCAGGTCAGAATAATCATATTTTCTGTCTACACATGTTAATGTTAGCCTATGTTGACTGAGCTAACGTTAACATACACTGTTGCTAGGTAATAAGACTGTTGTTAGCTAAATATTTAATGTAGAACAGTGGTTCCCAAACTTGGGTACGTGAGGCGAACAAAATGATGAGTTTTGCTGTGTTTTGATTCAATGATTAATTTATAAATACAGCCACTTGCTTAGTTACTGAATGAACAAATGACTTGAAGACTCACGCATTAGACAGTGACTTACCGCCACCTACTGGCGCTTTTAGTATTTAAAATAATCACTTTTCACTTTTTTTTAATCATTGCATATTAATCTATTGAACTTTTTTTTTATTTTAAACATTAATATTCTATTTATAAAGATGAAAAATGCATTGGAAAGTCAATTTAGGGGGCAAATATTGTCCTTTAATGGAAAAGGTGCAGTCTAAGTGGAAGAGAGGGGGTAGGCCTAAGCAGAAATGCCTCAGGGGGTACTCCACTCTAAAAAGTCTGGGAACCACTGATGTAGAACATTCTGTCCTGTGCAACAAGTGATTTATTTTATATTTTCAGGTACAGCGGTTAGTTTGAAATAAAAGTTTGTTTAACAGTGGAAATTGAGTCTCACGTTATTTAAACATTATTTAAAACATTAATGGTGAACATTTTCGACTTTATAAAATGATTCTCTCAAGTCTTGGCGATCGGCCCCTATTAAACAATAAAGAAAGTAAGAAATCTTTTTTCTTATTCATAGTTTAGTAGCCTACTATTCTTTTTGCCAGAATTGATCATTAATCAACTTAATTATTTCCTGGATTTTGTATCACCATAGTCCATAAATGTATGTGCATGCAGGAAATGGGATTCAAATCGAAAACATTTTCCCCCATTTTGTGTCCCCCCCACTTCTCAAACCAAAGTTACACCCTTGGGTTAGTTCACCCAAAAATGAAAATTAGCCTGTGTTTTACTCACCCTCAAGCCATCCTAGGTGTATATGACTTTCTTCTTTCAGACGAATACAATCGGAGTTATATTAAAAATTATCCAGGCACTTCTAAGCTCTATCATTGTAGTGGGCGGGTGTTTCTGTTCAACAGTCCAAAACACGTTAAATAAAGTACGCGCATCCATAATAAAACGTGCCTCACATGGCTCCGAGGGGTGAATGAAGGCCTCCTGTAGTGAATCCATGCATTTTTGTCACTTCCACTATCTGTCATATGTGGAAGCAGTTCCAGCGGATGACGTAGGACGTCGCCATTGCGTGATTAGTGACAAACGTGGAGAGAGAACAAAACAAAATCCGGTCATGAATTAGAAGCACAAATGAGAATTGTAAAGAAAAATGTCGGAGGATTTTGATATAAGCCAAGAGGAGACTGGTTTTCCTTTGCTAAAGAAAGGAAACTTTGCTTCCTTAAACAAACTCGTGAGACTAGCATATCTCAGAGGCACGCGCGCGACACATACATCCTACGTCATCCGCCGGAACGCTTCTGCATATGACAGTGAGAGAAAAGTGTTTATTGCATCTGAAATATGGATATTTTTCTTACAAAAACGCATGGATTTGCTACAGGATGCCTTTATTCACCCCCTGGAGCCGTGTGAGGGAGAAGGGTATAACTGCAGCCTGGAGATCTCCAAATGGGGACGGGAACTCCAAAGCGGGATGGGAGTTCCAAAATAGGGCGTGGCTTCCTCCCATTGACAGACAGGCACATGACACGCATGCGCAATTTTTTCTCCCAATCCACTTCAGTGCAAACTCCGCCCCACAGCTGATTCTAAAGATTTTATTGGTTGTGTCAATCACAGTGTTGATTTCCTACACTATGCTACAAAAAATGCTAACCCCTAAACCTATCCCACACCTGACCCTAACCTTGGACTGCACAGCAGAGCAGGATTGGCGCTGATTAGCGTGGTAAAGAAAGTTGCAGTTCAGGAGATAAACAGTTAATAAGATTATGCGATATGAGATTGCTCCGTAACTCCCCAACCGGACCTCACCGGACAATGGCACCTTTTTAGTTGCACCCAGCTTCACTACCCCCTCCTAACGTTACCCTGTGAATCTTAAGCCCCGTTGCTTAAAACAAAGCGATAGAGTAAATTCTTTCCCCTGCGCTGCGCTGGGACGGCTCGCGGGAGAGCTCATGGGTGATTCCCGTTTATATCATGAAGCTGTTCAAAATCTGAACACCACTGGCCACAAGCTTTGGGCTCTGCTCTCACAGAGCATATTTATTTATATAGCATATTTGATTTTAGATCAACTAGAAACCATGTTTAATTTATGAAGTTTTATTTGTGAAATGTAAGTCAATAACAATTGGCTGAAGCCAGAGCCAATGGTGAAAGTCTTTGCGTGAGGAGACCCCGCCCCATTTTGGAAGTTCTGCCCACTTTTGGAGTTCACGCCCCATGTTGGAGATCTCTGGTCTGCAGTTATACCTACTTGGTGTGAGGCACGTTTTATTATATATGCGTGCACTTTATTTAACGTGTTTTGGACTGTTGAACAGAAACACCCGCCCACTACAATGATAGAGCATAGAAGTTCCAGGACAATTTTTAATATAACTCCAATTGGATTTGTCTGAAAGAAGAAAGTCATATACACCTAGGATGGCTTGAGGGTGAGTAAAACACAGGCTAATTTTCATTTTTGGGTGAACTAACCCTTTAAATCTATACTGAAACTGACAGATAAATCAGTCCCCAGTTAGATGATCTGGGTCAGCCCAAAGGAACATTTTATTGCTCAAAGATTGCTCTTTAATAGCTCAGGGGACATTACTTCACTTTTATGCTCCATTTAAAGGTGCAGTAAGTGATATTAGCCTCTCTGGGACTGTTAGACATGCCCCTCTTTTCCAAAATCCACCTACTCAACTACAAAATTCCTGCTTATGGGCTGTCATATGAACATTCAAAATGACTGATATATAGAATCTAATTCACTTAATTCAGTAATATATGCAGCAACTTTAAATGTTTATGGACAGAATAGCTCAGATAATTTTACTATTTGGTAGTATTTGATGAGAAATTCAAGTTCATGCTAGTGTTATTTTATGTTATATACATACCATTATAGTATTTATTCACATTTTCAATTGGCTTTTATTTTTATATTAAAATGTATCATTTTAATTCAAGTAATTTTATGTGGTTTGTCATTTTTATTAGTTTCAGTTTTTATATTTCTATTTAGCTTTAATTCTTATGTGATAATTTATGTATTATTTTGGTAATATTTTGGATAACCTTTTAAAATATTTCAATTTAGCTTTAATTTTTATTATAGTTTTAATAATTGTAGTACTTTTTCAGTTAATTGCCAAGTTTTTAAAAAAGTTTTTCTTTTAATATTTATATTTCATTATATTTTTTTCAGATTTATATTAATTACTGAAAATGATTTTTAATCATTTTAGTTAACGGCAAAAACACTGGTTCATATTGAGATTTGACTTTTTATCACAGACCTTTTTGAGACACTGTTGAGATTTCTTCTGAAACCTTAGAGAAGACAAACTATGAACAATAATTAATAATAAATAAGTCTTTCTTTGCTCTTATTATAATCTAATTAACTGCTGTCTAGGAGAAAACAACCACAACATTACAGAGATCTAATTTTTCTTTCCTATTTGAGATATAATCCTTTTTCTCTTTGTGTAGTTTTGAAACAGTTCTTATTGTGTTCGGGAAACTTCTACCTGTGGTTTTCAACAACCAGCTCTCTGCTCTGTGTGTTTACTTTAAGTGTATGCACTTAAATGTTACGTGTGCCTTCGATAACTTTCCTATGCGAGTCAATATTGCTCCAGTACAGACTAGAAGCCTGATAATCAAGGCAATAAACTAAATGAATGCGGGCACCAATAGGAAGTCTGTTAGCTAACACTTTGTTTAGAAAGCTTCAGCTATAGATCTGTTTATACACGAATCCTTCACCTTCTAATCAATACTGATCACAACTTCCCCCATGAGTAAAGAGATAGACACTGACAAATGTCACGTCGATGACTGTGACTGTTTACCAGCCAATATAAACGTATAAACACAGAATTTGTTCTGTAGAAGCTATTAACGGTTTTTGATTATTAAGTAGGCCTATTTGATTAAAGTGACTTACAAAAGCTGTTAAGAACATGTCTGGGTCAAATGTTGACCACAAAATT